CTTGTAGTCAGAAGTTTCCAGAGCCTATTTATTAACCTCGCAATAACCGGATTAGTCTCGGTTATTACTGCCTAAGAACCATAACTTTTCACGGAGTGTAGGTTGTAGTTCTTGAAAATTTAATGTGAATATATACAGTAAAGAAAATATGCGAGATGGTAGTAAATAGTTAATGTTTAGAAAAGAAGGTTGCCACTTTATTGTTAGTTTTAATCAGACAGGAGTTAAATTCTGGTCGACGATTAACGACCCCTTCATCCGCCTGGTGAAGAAAGTAGGCATGTGCTCTCTTCTGCAGAAATATTGGCATGGGCTCCCAACATAACTACCCTCTGTCAGGCTTTATTGTAAAAGATGTGCATTTTAATCATCCCATCAGTGATAATAAGTGTCCTTAAGTGTGCTTAAGTGCATGGGAGTTAAATTGACACATCCGTCACATGGAATTCAACCGATCGCTTTATTTAGAAAGGTGTCTAGACACACTCCTTTGCACTTGCTGTATTAATCTATGAGCGTACACACATTTTCCCATTATGATTTTTAAGTGCTTGAGCAGATGATTCAGAATGAAATAAGGAGAGGCTCTTGGTGGCGAGACAGACGAAAGAGCTAAGGTTGTTTGACTTACTAAGAACACACTATCATTTGCCCTTCTCAATTTACAACAGCATATAAAAACCAACAAATTATAACTGTTTTCTGTATTGGAGATAATTTTTGGTAAGAGAATTTAATCTGTGACTAGCAATATTTTCATATTGTTGAAAAAGATTTTGGAGATAATGTGATTATGACGTTGGCATCACTCAAGAGAGGGTTCGACTCGCGCGTACGAAATTGTGGTGAGTTGACCGAAGTATGCCCGATTTGATTGCGGAGTTAAAACTTAAGTAAGGGTACAATCAATACGATAATGACTACTTTTGGTAAATCGAGAATATCCCAGAATGCACTTTATCTATAACTACTAAAAACCTAAATTGTTGACTTGAATTTTAATTGCTTTATTAGTGCAAACAGTCAAAACACTATAGAGGAATTTGTGTGGCAACCAATGATAATAGGGATATTCCCGTATGGCTGTTTGAGAGGGCAAAAATGTCCCACGTCAGGTCCCCAATTTTCATTTTATAAAGGTAGTAATTAGTTTTGGATTTTTAATTAAAATCTGTTTTATTTAATTGAAATTTGGTTTATTTACCGGCTGTTCATCACATGAATTGTGAAGTTGATTGTTGAACAATGCAAAAGCCAATCCAAGGTTTTTAAGTTAACTGGAGTGCATTATTACCAAAACATAAAGTAATTGAGCAAAGCAAACAAAATGAACAAAAATCAATTACAAAAATGCTTATGTTCACAACAAAATATGGCATTCAGCGTACGTTTAGAATGTATTTTTGGTGTAGTGAGCATGTACTATTGTTAGGCTGAAAAATTAAGCCAAGTAAAGGTGGCCTGCATAATTTGTTTCCACAATGAAGCCTTAAGAGCTTAAGTTTGTCAATGGCCTGGGAATTCAATTTGAACGAAGGACGGGGAATGCCGCAGAGTACCATCGTAAAGGTGAGCCTCTTGATAGCTTTGTTTGCAACAATGCGGTTGTTGGCTTTGAAGTACCGTCTGTCTTACTTAGTTGATACACGCAATGGATATTGTTAAAGTCGATTTAGGGCATTATTGGTGTCTGCCATTTCGATTATGCAGATCGAAATTTTCAAATAGGGGTTTCGGTGTCTCACTTAACGGAGGTCTCGTAAATAAACATTAATTTTTCGTGCATGTTTTGAAAGTTCACTCAGGCTATAAATTGTTTAATCATTTAATGTGTTGAGCAGCGGGACAATCAATAGGGGAACTTTCAAAACAAGTATGACACGTTTATTCAAGTATGATGTCACCCTTTCCTTTCACGATCTGACAATTAGTTTTAAAGTGGCTTCATTTTGTGTTGTGCTTGCGGGCTAGCGGTGAAATGTTTACCAGTTCATAAGCAGAGTTTCTCTTTGAGTCCTGTATTAATCATAGGGAAAATGTATTTAATTAGCAGGGCAAAGGGTCTAACAGTAGAATTGTCATTGTTAAATTAAGTGCAGTTGCTATGAATTTTAAATTTTTCAATGAAATTGATAACTTTACCATGAAACCAAGACATAAATAATGGGAAAGTGACAGCACTCTTCAAATCACAGCTAAAAATAACACGCTGCTTTCTCCTAAGGTAAAAGTAATTTTTAGCCCTTTTCAGAAAAAGCTCCCGAGGCCCCACTGATGCGCCAAAGTAACTTTACGATAAGCACAACTAAGGAAAAAATCAAATGCCATAACGCCATTTGCGACAGCAATTTCAGACCCCACGTGGGGTGGATTTCAGCTGCGGCGGCCGAAAGCCTGCAGGCTTAATCTTTGATATTTGAATAAGCCTTAACAGACCAGAGCACCATGCGATTGAAAGGATAAGAACACAGCGTTATTGCCTAAGATCCGGCGAATGGATTTAATGAGTGCGTGCCACATGTGTTGTTTTCTCCTGATCTCGTTTAAAGGACCTCTTGATGTGAACGAAGTAAGCTTCTTTGTTCACTAAACGTTTATACAGGCACTCCGAAAGAGAAAGTGAAGTAACAACGGTAAATAAAATTGTTTCCTACTAGTTTGGCTCTTGGTGATAGCAAGACCAGCTAACATTGAGTTAGTGACGTTAAAATCGATTTCATTTAGCGATGCTCAGTTTTTAATAGGGTGATCTAGCCGTTTTGAAGAATGGGTAACAATTAGAACGAATTGAAGAGTGAAATGATTTTGAAACATTTACTGGTATACAAACAACTATAGCAACATTGCTTTAATCAAAGCACAAGATGTGCTTTAACACACGTGAAACTCGTAAAGTGTCCCATGTGGATAGATGAGGAAAAAGTTAAATCTGGTTTTCATCAACAAAATAATTTGTGAGAAATAGAATTAAACCGAAGGGGATGCTTGCACTTAATTCTGATAATTTGAGAGCCAATAATCAATAAACTTTTGCAACTTGTAAAACTACGAGTGGTGTTTTATTATTTGAGTAATTTTTCTGAAAAACAATTGTTAGTAAAATGCACATCCAAATCAGTATCAGCAGAATTTTAAGTCCGAAACCGTTATCAAGTTAGAAATAGGCAAAAATCGTTGACAAAGAGCGATTTCAAGCAGCTTCAATAAAAGCTAACACAGAGTTAGAATTAGAAAATAGACCGCCCACGATCATTGCTTAGTCCAATACAATGTTACCAAGCTTAGTATTTTGTACCGTTTTTTACATTTAATGATAAGGTAGTTCTTTTGTTAAATTTTGCCTAAGTCGAAACCTTGAAAGTAGAATAACCTGGGAAATTAAATATCCAATTTTTCAATTCAACTTAAAATTTAACTCAAATATGTTTGATTTTCATGTCTTCAGAAGAAATGTTTCATTGAGAGTGGAAATAAAAGCTTAATTTTAAGCCATTTTTGCATCTCGTGGTAGTGGTCTCATGTGAGTACTTAAATCATATTTATGACGGCTTTATGTTGCTGCCTCTAGACGGCCAGTGATTCAGCGATGGTCTGCTACTTAACAAAATGAGCTGCTTCTTAACAATGTTCAGCCTTTAAAGGAGTTCAGCCTGGGCAGGAAAATTTTGCAAATGATCCGTCAGTAGAAGAAGAGGAGAGAAGATATGTAAATTTATGCCAGTTAAAAGTGAAGTTCCTGGCCCACATTAAACTTGGATTAAAGTATCCACTTTACTACCAGCCATTCTTATAAATAAATGTAATGGAGGATTTGAGCGCCTTCCTCAAATCCGTAACACACGCGCTTGGCCGCAGTCACAAATACAGACAGGTAAACATGACTTTATTCATTTTGTAACTATGTTTGATTTTGTATACAGTTATAATCATCAGACAAATAAGTCATGTGTGTTAACAGCAGATTAAGTAGTCTAGCTCAGCAGCAATTAATAAACTACATGCAACGCAAAATGAATGCCTTCATCCTGGTAAATAATCTGTTAATACATTTATGGCTTAAAATTAAGAATTGTATTGCAAAACGCAGGCAGGTTAAGATGCAAAATTATGTGTAATACATATTGAGATAGTTGACCTCGGAAACGCCCCTTTCCAATGGATTCAGGACTTTACATAATCAAAATCATTTGCTAGATGGGTCAACCGACATATCGCAAAAATGGTTCATTTGGGGCGTCGAATTTTAAAAAGGGCTAGGTGGTTAGGTAGAATAGGTAAGCGTACTTAGAAAAGGAAACCCACACGCACACACTCAAAGGCTTGGCGGGGGCAAAGGCTATTAGAAGACTTGACAGAAAAGTCGTAAGAATGGAAATTCTGAGCCGAAGACTACAAAACAAGACAATCAATTGTATTAACTATTCAGGTGGTGTATCTCTCGGAGGGCGTTAAACCAACCCAGGCAAGTTAGCCTGCCCACCCAGAGTGGTAGAATTTGTCTTTGGAGCTTAAGAATTCGAATCGAGTTGTTGGAATATGCAAGATTTTGGTTCCAAGGCGTACCAGACGCCAGGCAAAATAGCAATGAAACTTACAACAATCAGTGGGCATTCTGGCCACTTGCTAGCTGTTAAGCACGGGCGTACCCCATTGAAGATTGAAAAAGCAAAAGACATTTGAACGTGGATTTTGTGCGCGTAGAAGATACATTCAGAAAGGTATAAAACGCTGCAAGGAAGAGAATTAAATTATGTGCCACAATCGATCATAAACAGAATATTGAAAAAATAGCTCTCACATACAACGCCCACCTCATGCAGAATGGTTAGGTGCGGATGAAAAAAACGAACGAACAGGGAAGCATCGGCAGCACAGAATATAGTGACAGAAGAATTGTTATATAAGAGGTCAGACATGGAAATTTAGAAGGAAAATTAGGGATTAAGAGAAGGGTGAGGGAATTCTGAGGCGGAGAGAAGAGGATCGAGCGTTCAGGGTGGTCAGATAAGAGGGTACGGTGGCGCAGACGGAGACGACGACGCAGGGTGGGGGTGTTCTGCAGGGGAGTAGTCGTTGGTCATGTTGTTGACGGACCGGCGATAAGCGCTGTTTTGTTTGCGTCCAAGGTTTTGAGGCTTGTAGCCTTTGGAGCGCATGTAAGAGATCAGTTGATCGGGTATTTCAGCAAGAACTGCTCGAGCGAGCTGTCTCTTTGTGTCCATGACTGAGGTCAGACTGACGAAGTCGTCGAATGGGACAAACTAGTAAGAAAACAGCAATACAGGCATCGATTGAGGCAGCCAAATTCCTAAATCAGGTGACGTTAATTGAAAACATGTGGCTGAAACAGAAAGCTTGTATATTCTTGTAAATCATCTGATCGGTTAAACTGATAACGATTTGAAACGAATGGATTCTTGTGATAAGTTTTCCTTTGAAACGTGAACCCGTTCCCAGAAGTCTTTACCTATTAATGACAAAATGCATCATGCAAGAGCAGCATAGACCAGTTCACTGTTTTGTTCGCATGGCATATGGTGAGTGAGCCATGCAACACCACGGTGGCCTCTGAACTTAGTTGCTCACTGAAAATGATATTCCACTCATACGTTTTTTAATTAAAAAAACAAATATGGAAGTAGGAATTCTATACGGCAGAACAGTCATTCTGCGGCTACTTCATGGCCATGGTGTTTCAATTTGTCATGCCTACACTGACAGCCTGCAGATGACCATCGTGGCCGCAGAAATGTCAGCTGACAATCAAGATCTCCAGCAATTAGATGTGCGTGAAAAAATGATTACGCCTATTCATGTCCACATCGACTGTTTAAACGAATCGAAGAAACATAAGGTGTGAAATGGGGCATAATTCTTAGACAACAACATGCTCTTGCGGAGTGCTGAAAGTGACTACGATAACTTCCAAAACAATAGTAGGTTTGATCTAAAGTCTGTGTGAAATTAAAATAAAACAATTTTAAAATTGTTTTTTTGTCTGATGCGATGTGATTAATCGGGCATCAAAGTAGTTATTGTCAGGACAAGTTATTTCTGGTTGGGGCCAAATTTTACGCTAAGCCACCACACACAGTGCCTGAAAATGCCATTTCCGTGTAAATAAACGCATTAACTTGTGCCTTTCTCTAAAATTTTTGGTGTTGTGGTTAGAAAAGCGAATAATCTACCTGAAAACGTCTATAGGTTGAGATTGTTTGGCCATGGAGCAGTAATGCCGCCTGCACATTTTGAGGCGCAATTTGTGGAACGTTTGTCGTTTCCCACCCACAACATCCCTCCACCCATGTCGCCTGGCACAAAACTACCTCGCCCTCCAAACCAGGCTTCCTACGGTGCCTGAAAAGCCACTTTAAACGGCACTTGCCTTTTTGATGTTTGTCGGTGATGGCGAGATAAGCCACGTGTTTGCCACCAAATACAGAAAGTTGTACACGATAGGCTAATGTCTACTCTATCGCCAATTTACCGATCGGTTTCATCCAATTAGAAAAAATCCTTTGTTCCAACTCTATGTAGCACCACGCACAGAGGAAATGTACATTACCCCCATTGACTTCTTTTGCGAAGGCCAGTTCTGCCAATATTATTACACACCCCGCTCGTATACGTGCTGGAAAAACAGTTAATAAAACCAAGCTTGTATTCATAAATATTTGGTGTCCTCCTTCTTGTTATCTGTGCATTCACAGCAAAAGTTCTACATTAACTATTCACAGCGAGATTACAACAGTCCCAACGACGCCATCTGACCGATTCTAGGAGCCAATAACAACGAAACCGACAAAATAACCACTTTACGTCTTCGGCTTATGCTTTAGCAAATAAATTACATTTAATCGCCTCTACTACCGAGCTTAAAGGAGCCATCCTCCAAACCAATCCTACTAATTTTAAAGCACAGCCAAAGACTCCACGCCACGCACTCGTCTCTCGTGGATGCTCTTTCCGTGCGTATCTCAGCTTCAAAGCCTTCCTACCAGGGACAGCAGTTAAGTCGTTTGATGAATGTAATCTAAAAAATGAATATTAGCCAAGCGTCCTCTGCGATTACTTAAAAACAGCAAAATCACCTGTACGATGTCTCTTTCGGCGCGACGCCCTCTCGAAGTCAGACGGATTTCATCACCGTCCAATTCCTCCATCGCGGAGAAGTCCGCAGCACCGATTCCGACAATAATTATACTTACTGGGAGACGGGATGCCTATAGCATAATTTATACAAAATTTAAATATAATTTTTTGAGCTAAGCAACAACTTAGTTATGTATTTTAAGTACCTAACATGTCTAACTCTAAATCCTTTGTTATTTAAAATCGTAGCATATTTTCAGAATTTTGCTCTTTAACACATTAATCGTAGTGAAACACCATCCGAATATTCTGCATGGAGACGTGTTACCCAGTAGAAATAGTGTTTCTATAGGAAAAACGGCAGCTACTCCAGCAACACATGCGTCACTCGTTCTGTATACACAAGGCAGAATCACTTGGGTTTTTTGGCAAATACGACCACAGTCAGTTTCTTTAGCCACCAACGCCGTGGCATCCATTTGTGCGGAATTAAGGAATTTTGCGTAGTAGATACGATAATCCGCCTCCCACGAACAGTATCACCATTTATTACGCAGTAGCAACTACCAAATGTTGGGCTTTAGCAATGGATACAGCCGTGCTTACGTAAATTTAGGTCCGAATCAAAGTGTAACGCTCAAAGCCATTTATCAATAAAAAACATTTGTTACAATTATTTGTAGAAGACGGTCTGTTCGTCTGTGCATTCAACTGTCCATCATGGTAGGCGGCTCACACAGCTACTGCGCAAATAGAGCTACAGCGTAGACTAAAATTCTCAGAGGACGTTTTACTAATTTAATAAACAATTTACAGCTTAAAGTGCCTCTATGCTGACACGATTAAAACATTAGTGTTCGCGGATGGATGTCCTACAATAAACATTGATTCCCGTAGTGGGCGTGCCTTGAAACTAACAGGAAGTACACAAACCCACCAAGCTGTTACAGGTCAAGAGGAAATCAAACGCACCAGCTCCTGGTTTAATTCATCGTGGGAAAAGTTACCGATAATAAGGACGATACGCTAATATTTACAGCCTCATAGTTAATGCGTTTTAATTGTAAGATGATACAACCTTTGCAAAAATGTTGAATAATTTACTAAGAAATTCATACTCAAGAGACCGCCTTTACACGGAGTCCATGCAATTAGTGCTTTGGTGTGTAATACAAACAATGCCTGAAGTCATTTACGACATTCAACAGCATTTATTAAAAGGAGGTGAGTTATTTTTGGGTTGCCTACCGTGAAGAGGTGGTTTCAGCTGCAAAAGTACACACACTGAAGAGAGGTCTTGGAAACACAATTCTAGTTATGAATTTAGAGTAGTGGATAGCTTCCTGGCTCATAGTCCCGCGGCAAACAAACTGCCTTTGAACAGGTTTCTGTCGAATATGTATTAGTCAATTTGACAAATTCCACAAAGACATAGATAATCCGTTATGATTTTTTCCTGTCAAAGAATGGTATCTTATTAGGAATTTCAGTCGTGCTTTTCCTAAGACAATGTTATTCAAGAAAGAAACTCAACGGAACACTTTTGGAACCGACTGATTTAGAATTCCTGACTTATAGAAACTTAGCCTTTAATGTAAAACCTTATTCGTCACTGTCGTAGCATGGTGCAAAAGTAAATCGTGCCACATCTAAAGTGCTGCTATCTTGGTATTTAAGTTGCAATCTGTTCAATTCAGAATTTTCAATGGTGAAAAGCACTACTGATATCCGTTCTGTAATATCCAACAGACCAATTTAATCCTCAGTGAAGGCAAAAACATAAAAAAGTGTGGCTAACACCAATACTAATGAATTCTAAGGGACTTGAATTAAATCCGAAAAAAAAGTTCTACTACTAAGTTGCATGCCTGATCTTAGGTTGCATTGGTGCATTTTAAAAAGCAATTTGTGAGTAAAAGGTAGGCCTTAAGCAACCTTATTCAAGAATCATAAACATGGATAATATCCACACAAACGCCGAGGGACACAGAAAAAACTCACATTCACAACAGCTGCCTTGGTCTGAGGCATGTCACAAATAATGCCATCGGTTAGAATTAGAAGAATGTAGTATTGGGATCCGTCGTCGGTTTGTTGAGCCAAGCTAAATTAAAAAACGCGAAAGTCCCACTTGGTGAACAGGTATAACGCAACACATTACGCATTTAACGAGTTCGAACACAGTCGCATTTGTAATTAATCTTTCCGATTAATAGATTTAGCTCACCTAACTGAATTAATGCGCAGTTAAGATTTGACTGTAGACAAATAACAATAAAAATTTTGAAATTTATTTCGATGTTGTCGACGCTCCTACTCATTTTCGATTTTCCCTATCATTCTGATTCCCATATAAAGCCTTAACTTGTGTCCGAATGGCAACGGGCTCACAGTCAACTGTAGAAATTGGCAACAAGGTCGGATCACATTGTCGCTGTTAAAGTTTTGCTGTTAAATCGAAACCTTTCTAAATACTAGAGTTCAGTTAGTTTTAGCATTAGATTACAGCCAAGATTATAACTTCACCGCTTTAATATTAGATTGATGAGAATGAATTACAATCTGAAAAATGTCATTGTGCGAGGAATTACATCGCAGGCTTCATAAACGAAAGAGATGCAAAGTGCATTGCACAAGCCAGCCGTACAGCCGCAAAATGTCAGGATTGCAGGTGTTATTGACTGCTATGTAATGACAGGTAACACATTAAAATGCACTAATGGTTTTGAGACACTTTCGACAGCTTAGGCCGGTCAAGAAGCGCAATGCTCGAGAGGCGCGTCAATTAAACAGCTAACATTTTCTAAACAGCAAGACATAATTGGTGCAAAAGTAGGTTTAGTGCAATGAAGCTTACTGAAAAAGGCCCAGATGAGCCAGTAAAGTCAATCCTGAATGGGAATTTTTGTCTAAAAATTTGATGTTGCCTGTCCGGTAGGACCATAACTTTTCGTGCACAATTTGGTGCCAGCAAATTGGGCTGCAGCTTGCGGAGTAAGGGAAAGCAGACCTTCCTCTAGGTTACACACCCTTTGGTAAGAACATTCTTGTTACTATTACCAACATCTGAATGTACAATTCCATTACTACTCACAAGAATCAGGTTTAAGTTGACGCTGCACATAGGCAATCTTTTAGTTGATTTTCATGGATACTGATAGATCGAGATGAAATACCGAAAGAGTCTAGCAAGATACAGGCAAACGTCATCTGTTTTATCCTGAGCCAAACAAAAGTGACTGAAATCGCCAAGCTGTGGCCTCTTTAAAATTAATGGTTCGGGTTTTTACTACGCTGGTCTTGTTCATGTTCAGCAGTATATAGGATTGAGAAAACGTATGACGTCCTTGTAATTTCGCTTGTGTTTTTAAAAAAACGTGTGTAACACTTGAAGCCAAAATTATCACATTCACCACTTAACTATCTGATAATACGTGAAAACAATCTGAAAAAAGTTCGAAGAGGTCTATTCATCTCATAATGCGAGTTCAATGTTTGTAGCGTTAAAAATGTTGAAGGGTTTTTCGACATCGAAGGCAGCAACTAATTCACGAGCTAATTTTAAGCAAACCCACTTATAATTATCTTGAGACAAATAAACGTGTTCTGGAGAAAATGAAGAGTTATGAATATCTCTACCTCTGTCCAACGCAAATACAATGAGCATGTTAATATCACTATTTGGCTGTGGACCTAATGCAGGTAACCACTTCTGTGCTAGGGCAAAGTTGATAAGCACACCGCCACCTTTTGAACTGGCCTTGTAATTCCATCAGCGAGAGCCAATTAGTGTGTGCGTATGTGTGTACTTGCCAGGGCCGTCTGACCACTTCTAGTAAGGCATCCCCCATAAGAATTTAACGTATCTCTCAGTTGATCTCCTGTTGGAGACACCATTGGCGAAATCGCCACTCAAGTCGACGAGGCAACTGATTCAAAAAGTAGCGGATTTTTGCCCTATCAAAAGCGATTTAATTGAAAAAGAAATCCATGGCCATTTGAGACCGATAACGTTTACATGCAATTTTTTTCCGGATCAAGTTCATTGGTTGTAATTAAGTCGAACGGATATTAAAACAGGCTTAATGATAGACTCGCATTGCCATAATTTAGGGTGAAAGCCCAGTTTATAAAGTTCAACGTTGAGTGCCGCAGTGAAATGAGTGGGCGAATCAGACCGGTTATTTTAGGCTCCATTAGAGGTCCTGACACTGAAAGCTTGACAGACAGGTTAAACGGAACTTGCTTCTTCTTTGCACTCGTTGTTGTTGTTGTTTCCAACTCTTCAACTTTAATTAGTGCACTAAAAGAAAATGGGTAAATGTGTGCATACTGTGGCATCTATGACCGCTCAGAGACACTTTGGGAAAGTGGCCCATGTGCATTGCTAGTCACAAAAACAAAGACGTCCTAGTAGATGCATCAGAAAACTAAAAGCTAAGGCATATCTAAAAGACTGTATCAATTCCTAAATTATCAATCGAAAATAATTCGAGGTACAACACAAGATTTTTACTGGTATCAGAGCTATCAGTAAATGGTAATACGATGATTTCATCAGTAAATTTGACTCTGATCGGGTTTGTTTACAAAAATATCCCCGGATTGTGCTGGCTTAGAGATATTAAAAAAGTGAGAGATTTGGGAAATAATACCACTCGACTGTTGGAATTGTGAAGCTTTAAACGAGGAAAAAGAAAACGAGCATTAAGACCGAACCAGTAGGCTGCGGAAAACTTCATACGGTTTTGCCCTTCCTCTGACATGGATATCAAAGGGTAGTTCTGGTTTCCTCAAACACCTTGCATTATAACAAAATTAAAAAGGCAAGTTACCTATAAAAGTTAATTGATTTGAGACTAAATTTTGAGAAGACGCTCTGAAAGCTTCTGATTTCAATAATTTCACAGTATTTAGAACCGAAACGAATGTTTGAATTAACGGAGTCACTTAATATCAAATTTCGTTTTTTAATACAAGAATTAAGTACTTATACAACCAAAGGTTTCTTTACTAAATTTGATGATAAAAAACTTGAAACATTGCGGTAATTGATGAAATATTATTGAACTGCCTAGTCAAACACCCTCAAATGGCTGTCCAGCGTAAATCCAAAAAAGGATTAAATTTAGAAAGCAAAATATTTTTAGAAAATATATCTTCCCCAAAAATACTAGCGAGGTTTGATAAACTAAAATAGTGTATTTGTTTTAAAAGCCTCATTTGAAATTGAATCACTCTTTGGCAATTTTATTGTTGAATGTTTCATTTTTTAAAACCTGGCCGTAAAGCTACTGAACTAGTTAGAGGACAGTAGAATTTTGATAAATCTCAGTGGATAACGATAGTGATTGAAAAACAGCGAAAAAATGCGTATTGATTCACTGGGATATGCTGAAATGCTACACGAGCTAAAGTTCCGCTTTCCAATTGACGTGGTAGAGCAAGCATGGGCGGAGTGACCAAGACTTAAATGGACACTGGAATTGTCGCCAGAACTAAAAAAATCCGCACAAATTACTCTGGTGACTTAGAGGAGAGCAGCAGAGCATGGCAGATGATGGATGTGAACAAGAATAGAACAGGAGAGTGAAAACGGGGAGGTTTAACAAAATTAAGTGGGTTAAGCACTTCATGAAGGTGGATTCAATGTGAGCTGATCACAAGGAATGTTTGGAAAAGGATAAGTGCAAGTAGACAGAAACTTGGAAGCCCTCAAATTCTCGCGGAGGGATGGTCACCAGTGTGGTAATTCGGAGCTTTGTGAATGAAAAATTGTGGATGTGGACCAGTTGATTCAACTGAATAAGCGTCCCATTTGTGTGAAAACAGTTACTGGCACGACTAGACAATGAAACGGGCTGAGAGCATGCAGCAAGACCAAATATACACTGCAAATACGATTGGTGACTAAAACAGAGTGAACGAACGGTGGCTTCGATTATACCAGACATGAAGGGATGGACATTTGTTTTACAATGAAGGGCGTCATTTGCACTTAGAAAAATGTAAATTTACACCACTTAGAATGATGTAGTAGATGGAAATGAAGCCAGACAATGTGCAAATGAAGGCTCTTGGTCAAATTTTATTGTCTTTTTTTGACGACACAAAATGAATGGGAGTGTGCGCTTAATGCAAGCTGCAAATGGGCGATTGGCAGGGAATGGAAGTTGCAAAGTTGAGATGTTGCAATTTTTATTAAAGCATTTGAGCAGAACGGCCTTTTTAATATAGTGGGAGTGGAGATACATTAAATTTATACATTATACATGTATGTGCACCAATTACATGGGTTTTTACATTTCGGCATTTAACGGAGAAATTTTGCCAGCACGACGCATCAATGCCTTCATTTAGTTAATGGAAGCCTGACGCCGGTGGAATTAGGAATATCTTCATTTTTAAAGTCAAATCGACTCAAACAAGAGACTAATTCTACACAGTAGTTTCAATGACCAAACTGGCATGCTGGCATGTAAGAAAGGTGGGCGTGTAACTAAATGAAACCGACAGCAAGCTGAGGCAAATTTATCATTGTGGTACTCAGGGCTTGTTGGATTCTTGGATAAATGTAATTAAGGTGATGAAACAACCCAAGTCTTTATTTACATTCACAGAAGCATAGATTCCCATATATAATTGCGAAATAAAATGCTTGATTAATTTTTTTAGGGCACAAATAAGCCAGATTACTTCGACAACCTTGTTTTAATTTATTACGTGAAAAGAAGAACATGGCCAAACGCAGCAGAGTCGATTTACTATGCTCGCAAATAAGACGATAATTCATTTAGCCAGGAGAAAATCGAACAACTAGTGAACCAAGGAGGTAATAACAATTCATAAGGGACGGCTTAAGTGGATTCTGAGTCAGTTTACAACTTAACTGAAGATGAAGTAGCTTTGCGCGATTGCGAGAGCCCTTACCAGGATATGTGGCAGTGACTTGTTATTTATGCCAAGTCTCTTTTGCACCACCATCAACCCTGAACTGTGAGACAACTGATGACCACAGCCTTCTACACTACCAAACATCTGTACCTTCGACGACTGGATGATGCCTTGTACAATGCACCCCTTACATTAGTAGCAGTAAGATTGGGCGATGTCAGGCAAAAGTCTATATTGTAACAGCGGGATCTGCAATTTAATCCCTTAAAATGAACATTTTAATGATTCCTTACCTGTTCTTTATTACTGAGTTAAAATTTGTTGAAATTTCGTAACACTGCATGCAAATAAGCACAAGCCAGCATATCGAACTTCAGTCGCATAATCTATGGCACAGGCATACTTGCCTGGTTGTAAAAAGTGATGCTTTTTAAACGACGCCAAGGCACCCATAGGTTTTCATTTAGAAGTTAGACTAGAAGAAATCAGAGACTCAACCGAACATAAATCAAGTCGCCATCATGTCACCTCATGCTCCCGCAATCAGTACGGCTTGATGCACAATGAGGCCATAATAGCAGTCACGGAATTCAATTGCATTGTTCTCATTTAGTTATAGAGGTCGAAATCTAAGTATTAAGATAATTTTAAATATTTTTTTTACATAAAATCAAATTTTCTTACTTGGCGACTTGGGTGATAATTGGAGCAAAGTTGGTTGGTCCGTGAAGAGTGACGGTTTGCAAGGCGTAACGATAAGCCTCCATCACGCCGGCAATGCCTTGACAAAAGGGGTTCTCTGGGTGACCATTCTGCAGGAAAAAAAAACGAACTAGAGACCTCTGGAAGAGAGGTGGACGATAAACGTTGGCATCATACGAGAATTCCATTTTTTAAATATCTGCCTCTTATTCTGCAATCATGTGCGCTTTAAGGTAGAAAATACAAATTTATGCCTGGAAGGTGCATTCATTTACGGAGGAAACATGCGCCCAATGCATCAGTGAGCACTGAAGGCCTACATTTAATGACTGTAATACTTAAGATAGCTTGCCAATACTTCACATGGAGGCTTTCAATTCATTATCCACAGAGAGGGTGTTTCATGTTATAAATGCTTGAGTCACATTTGACATCTTGCATTCTAATTTATAAGAGGCCGAAAGTTGTTCGAAATTGTACAAAACAACAGGATAGAATCTATGTAGGCAAAGGTAAATCTAAGTAACTAGATGCGAAACGTGGTGGAGTGTGAAACCTCAGCACAGAAAGCCTAGGTAAACCTTGACACTTCGTTAATGTGTAAGTGGCACAGCTTAGCGTTGCGGACTGCCACCATAACCCGGAAAAATGTACTTGCGTTAATTTTGTAGGTCAGTTCAAGGCATAGAAATGAATTGCACTAGAGGCTGACTTTCTGACCAAAAAATATCGCCTCTCCATCGGCGTTGACTTACCGACGGATAGTTTATCATATGTTGCATTTGCACAAGGCTTTACATTAACAGCAGTTTGAGCACAATTTCAAGGAGTGACGATAGCATCTCTGGATCTCCTCCTAATCGCTGGTTTTCATCAAAAGTCCTGTAGCTAAGCCCGGTAAGTCTACGAGGGTAGTGCCACTGGCGATATTCTGAACTACTTAAAAGTGGAAGCCGAGTGATTTTAACAACTATTTTACAAAGAACATTCTAGGGATGCGTTATTATTATAAGAACACAGCTGATTATCAGACACTCAAGGAAGCTTCTGTCAAACGTTTGACGTGCTAAATAACTAACGAAGGTTTATCAAATCCCCATTTCTCATATTTACAATCCAAAACGTTTGCAAAATTAGAAAACCGTGGGGTTTACAAACTGAATTCGGCCATGAAAATGCAGCTTTTATCAAGAAAACAGAAATTAGAACAGGTAACTTTGGCTAAGAGGTTTGTTGATTCATCGGATTTACGCTAAAGGAATTCAGAACGCGGATTTGGCAGAAGGCCATTTTCGAAATAAAATGCTTACGCAAAATACCACTAGATCAGTGTGCATGCAGGAAGTGGGCATATGCTTTAAGACTATCTTCTTATTGCTGAATAGATGTGCGCAAGTCGTAGATATAACCCAGCACCGCATTCAACCTATCCATAAACTGAACACAGCTGGAGCTAATTATATGCTCATACCATCTAACTGCCAGATCCCAACGTAACCAAAATATATGGAACACTTTAAAAGAAACTTTCGCGACGTCAAACCTGCTGCAGTCATTTGAGGGTAAAACACAGTACTGCTTTTCACATCTCTGTTTAACTAAGGCTATCAAAAAATTAAATTTTCCCCATTCTCACCAGACTTTGGCAATCAAAAGACAGGAGTGAGGGTATGTCCGATAATCAAAGTTTTGTACTTGCTTAAACCACTTTTCTCAGGATTATTCGATCAAACAAAAAAGGAGACTAGTGGAGCACAAGCGCAAAAGTCAGCAAAATTGAAGTATAAAACGAATCCTCTTTTCTTCATTTTCTACTACTTCAATTATTTTAGGGCTACGTTCGACCTGTAATCTTATCACCGCATTTCTGACCGCGGTATTATTAGGTGCACTAATAAATTTTTGTCAAAGAAAATGTGTTTAATTTACCACGCAAGGCTCGTGAGCTAAATCCGACTACCAGAAAATCGTATTTAAAAGGTTGGTTCATATTAGAGACATATCCATAAAACATGAGAAATTTGAATATCTAAAAAAGCTGAACCGTAGAGGTTTGCCACATCTATGCTCAAGGTCTTTTTGTTTAGCGCATGACCATTTTAAGTGGCGACTGATTGACGCCTGACTCGGGAATCTCCACCTATGTTAATTTATCCGCACCACCGTTTTTTGTCAAGAATATTTACTAGGTGCAGTAAAAGGTGAATTGTTTTAATCTACACATTAACAAATTAACCAATCAGTGCTTCATCCCAAAACAACCTCTTGTTGAATCTTTTTTTACAAGAGAAAACGGACTATTGATGGGCATTCACCAACAAAAATCAGGTACATCATCAGTTACAGACTTTACAATGGTTATTTGATGGGCAAAACGTGTCCACAGATTCTGCTTAGGTTTATTAAACGTAAAGCTATTCTGCGGTGTCTGCCACGATGATCTATTGCCAGATCCTTACTTACTGCTCATTCTGAGCACGAAACTTAATGCTGATTATGTACCTAATGCTAATACACGGGGCTAAATTTGTAACGCAGAACATCTTTCATACTTCGCCCAAATCAAAAACTTAGTATATACTGAAGATAGAATTTCTAAACAATAATTTGGATGAAATCGCAATTTAGCTTCTACTAAACTCGAAAAGGCTAAATCAAAGGCAGAATGCCTACAATCGGCACGAAACAAAATAGAAGTCACTCAACTTGTACACACTGTTCTTGCCAGTTTTTTCAAGGTAGATTAAACTGCACTAATTACCGCGTCAAATACCGTATTAATCTACACAGCTAGAAAAACCCTTAACTGGGATGATTAAAGTGAGTAAATCAAGGCAAATTTGGCAAAATTAAATTCACAAATTACTCGTATGCAAATCTGTCCAGCTTCCATTTAAACTAGAGACCTAGTTGACGTCAAAATTTAAGTGCACAATTCTGTCCAAATTATTCGCCACCACACCGATAAAATCTAGTTTCTCTAAGAGAAGTGACAATGAAAGATTCACTTACTACATTGATATGGTGCACTCTTCGACCTTTAGGAGCTGTTTCAAGGCGATGTGTTTATTTTGAAAAAAACTTAAGTGACGTTAAAACACACGTACCCACGGAAATGAATAATTATGAGACAACTGAAATTTCTACCTTTGCAGAGCTAATAAATTTGGATTCCATAACTTCGATCACTCGATAATTACTAAGTTCTGTCGAATTTTATTAGGGCATTTTCGACCGCACTAGCAGCATTCCAGGAATAGGTCTACTTCAAATTATCTACTGATAATTAGGGGCTCCGCTAAAGGCTAAAACATGGAGTAACATACTATGAAGAAGCAGTTAAAATATATTAGCTATTCCTAACGAAATATGTAGTCAAGGAACAGTGTAACAAACACACTTGAAAAACCTGTAACAATGCAAAAATCTGGTTGGAACAACTCACAGTATTTTCAACAAAACGTTCGCCAGAGGCACAATTTCAAATCAGAAGATCAGTTAGTTTAAAAACGTTACTGTGAAAATAGTGAGATGTTTTAATGCTTTCACTTTGAATAGGCACACCACAATTTGACCCTTCGAATTTCCTCTTAAATAGGAAAAAGAGCAAACAAAACAGGAAAATGAGTAAGGAATTCGATAAATACTTCCAATTATTGAACAAAATTTTTCACACGTGAGAGAGAAGGCACGACATTTTTGCAGTATTTTTTAAAGTTTTTCCTATCCATAAAGACGGTATTTTTATCTTTTTTAAACATTTATATCGTGAATTTAGACTCGTTTTTTGCATGTGAATCAGTGAAAGATCCCTTTTGACTCAGAAGTTATTCGTCGAACACAAGAAACCCTATGTCTGTAATTACTTCTTGAATTGCTTTTTCGTGTTCGGCTTCCTTTTGTACACATAATCCATACACATTTGCAGCCCTAGGAAAAAAAATATTTAACCACACTCATGGACCTCAAATCACGGAACGTTTAAAAATTGATCTTCACCAGCCATGAATTTCTATACCTGAAAAGATTTTTATCAAATCAACACAGTGAGCTTCATTAACATTCAGTTTCTCAGATCATTGAGAAAACATGGCCAATTGAGTTGTTTGAAATACATGTTTATTTTCTTCCCCAAGGTTTAATTAATTTCAGACTTCGGAAATCTCCACACTTACCTATTACAATGTGCCTACTAAGTGACATTGACGGCATTTGTATTGATCTTGAAAAAATCTCCATTGCATTTCACGATAAGACGCAATTTTTTTTCGCTAACGATGGCTGTTAACTTAATGTACCCGGAAATCATTTACGTGCGTTTTGAAATCACATGTAACGAAACATCTCTGACCTAGAAATAGAACCTGTGGGTGTTTCAATTTAAGCATATTGTGACCAACAATTCTCGTTAATGTTTGATGTGATGAGAGAAAAGCACTGTGGGATCACAGGGAAACGGAGGGTTACGAACGATTCTGCCCTGCTCGGGATCAGTATTGCTAGACTCCAGTTAGAGGCAATTATTCGGCGTTGCGCAAAGTTAGCAATTTTAACCGTCGATGTCAAAAAAAAAGCAGGAAGAAACGAGGAAATCTCAAGAGGGCTGGGTTCAGTAGTTTTGGTATCAATTTAAAGAGAAAGTGGATATATCCTCTTTGCACAGCGTAAAGTAGATTAATTATTTACGTAAAACCAATTTCGTACATGCTAGGACTAAATTAGATTGAATTATTTATTACTAATTTAGTTCCAAGAAAAATGAGGGAAAATGCGCCTTACCAGCGGAAAATTATGCGAGACCAGGTTGTCTGGGGGTATCCTAGCACCAAAACCGTAGGCAGGGAAGAGGTTATCACTAAAATACAACAAGTGCATTTTAAGCAAGTACGACAGTTAAATTAAGATGTTTCATTTAATGTTGTGGATCGCTGATTAGACGTTGTCAGGTGCTTCGGTTTGATTGACGCTTAATGCATCAACGGCAGAGATCAATCGGATTTGCGAAGAGACCGCTGTGTTTGTGTGCTGCCTATGAAAATGAAGGAACTTTTTAACGTTCAGCTGAAGTAACGTTGAGTGACTACAATAGAACCGAAGAATTGCTCAGTGAGCTAGTGGGCTCAGATGAGGCCAACCGAAAAAGATTAAAGCAGAAGGGCGCCGTTAACGTAGACACCAGATCTCGCCATTTACTGGACTTTGCCGATCTCTCAACGCTAATTAATTACTTCGCGATGCAAGCATACCAACGTTTTCAGTGATAAGCCAACTGGCTTCTTTTAAGTGAAAATAGAAGTCTTCTCCTATTAACAAACGTGATTTCCGCACAAAATTTGGTTATGTAATAAAACTTTGTCAAAAGCCTTAGCTTCAAAATTGCAGAATTATTTTAATGGGCAAAAATAGAGTTATAAAATTTAAGTTCTGGAACTGATTGCAACCCATGGTTTTCTGGTGAAGAGTGATATGAATCTTAAAAGCAAGTAATATTTGTCCTAGCGCCCTTTAAATTTGTACATGTAATAAATAAAATGTGAAATTTGATCGATTTTTGAAAACTATCGCGTCAAATTACTGACGCCAAATAACCAACCAATCTCCTTACACAAATTCGATTAACTTGCAAAAAAATTAATAAGTGTTGGTGATTTTAACCGGATGAAAAATCTTTGCTCATCCACGAGTGGAGTCCACATAATTTTAATCAATTCTGCAAACGAGGCACTATTATCGATAAATTCTGCCTGAATATGCAGTGACAGATATTCTCGCTCAATCAATTGCTCTCCAGTAAACCAAACAAGTTCTCATTGGATCAGGCTTATTTTTAATAAAAGCGAGTAATCAAATCCAATTTAAGCGCCAAGCTAGGGGCTATTTTAGTAATTTAATTTGTATCGTGTGAGTTACGACAAAAGATAGCAGGTAAGGCTCAAAGTATTTCATCTTAGACCATAATTAAATGGTCAGAAAACATCTGTTAGAGATACCTTTGAGAAATGATTGTTTCTAAATAAGTAATTTCCTCCTTGAACAAAACATGCGTCATTGATAAAAATTTAGTTTCATGACTAGTTGAACTGAAACGACATTGCTGTTCAGAGCACACAAGCACTGATCGTTAGTGATATGTCTAAAGTGTTTTGGATGGATTAATTCTAACCTGAAGAACCTGAAAACAGTTCACGTTTCTTCAATGGGTCAAACCGGAGAATGGCAACATTAAAAAGAATTTGGCAAAACAAAAGTGATAAATTTTTCAGCTTGAATAGGGGTGATTTGTAGACCATATTTATTCTTTCTTGTCAGTTGTAAAATGGGGACTTATACTCAAGCACAGCTACCTGGAAGAAAGAGGTACATTAAAGCTGATTGCAGTTGCTCTATGAAGGTTTGGAGGGTAATTCACACGATTGTATCTCTCTTATTTCTGCAAAAAATAGTGTTTCTAAGGATATGTCACTTATGGCAGTATGGCCATCACCCGTTGTACATTTACATCACTCAGCAAAGACCACCAAAACGGTGAAAACGGTGGCTAAATTTCATCGCCACGGATTTCTCAAATGACAAAAGAGCTTTGAGTTAAAACGGAAGTATTCGTTGATTCTCGAAGAATAGAAGAACAAGACCGATGGTTTTTGCTGCGATGGCTAGAAAACTGTTTTTTAAAGCGTTTTGAAGTTTTTAGGGCATGATCGCTAGTTCAATTTTGGAAGGATTCAAAGCACGCAACTACCATCTTGAAACTACTTTGTGAGGGGAAAAGGCACAACAAAGAACACCGAAAGCCGCTGTAGCTATTCTTGTTTGTGTAGTCATCGTTAATTCTAATTACAAGATTTTACTCATTTCAAAGTGAAAATGAACCTCTGTATGCTTTCCAAAAAGGAAATCCAAAATTCTTAATAGGAAGATGCCAACAGACCGATCGAGAATGAAGAACAAATCCTGGGTCTTATAAAGATCAGCGATTGTCATTACAAATAAGTCATCCACGTTGAAGTAAACAGAGTTACGTGAGGTTTACACGAAATCTAAACGGATTTCCTGATTATTTTAAAACTAGTCCATGAAACAGCAGCAGCCACAGCATGAAGTCTGTGTGTTCAAAAAACCAGAACATTCAGATGAGCCCGAAGTGCGTGGGTTCAACTTTGATTATAACTTTCAAACATGACCGAACCGTGGAAACTCTAGGTGACAAATGGTCATGTTACAGCCATAGCAATGTACAATCATCTCTAATAACCAAAGAGACAGGTCTTAATAAAGAATGATTCGTGTCGTCCTAGGTCTGAAGCAAGGTTGGCAGAATTTCCCCCACAAAAATGCGAAGCAATGTCATAGAGGTCATACCTATTTCAAGATAATGCTACACATATCTAAAGTGCCTGGTTACCCCAACCTGCTGTCCCATGTGCCCTATTTTAGCCCATTTGAAGCACTTCGGTGACGCTGTATGAAACCAGCTAAAGTATGTCACTTGAAAACAATTGGGCCTGAGAGCTGACCGTTGACAGAAGGTACACTAAATTAATTGCTTGAACTCTGCCCTAGAATAAAGGATCCACTTTGTACGATATTGAGGTAATTTACAAGTTTGAGTCTGTAAGTTGTAACAAGTACAATGAATTATCGCATTAAATATTTTGTTTTTGATTAACGCCTACTTTCCTAGAACCAAAACGATATATTTTGCAGAATCAAACTTTCAAAGATACCATTTTTTGAAGAAGTGAATGTGTAAAAACCAAACATTTAGAGTGCCCCTCTGGTATATATTATTTACTTTTCAGTTAAATGTGAATCCACTTCAAATGAAAAGTAGTTCGGAAAACAGGTACAAGGCATCATGTGTGTAAATGGGGGATCAAAGCAATATTTAGAAAATCGATTGTGGTTTCTCAGAATGATCTGACTCGACATGAGCTGACCTGAATCTATTGCCTAACTATTGTTGCAAGCTTTTATATGCTTTATAGCAATCGGTACTGGGTTAAAGTTTTCAGTTGTGAAGAAGGTTAAAATCCTTACCATACTCACTTTTGTATATCGAAGTTGCATATTTATACGTGGATAAGTAAACTGACGCGTTCAGCTAGCTATTGGTTTAGAATTTAAAGTAGAAATTTAAAACGATGAAATATTTAGCCTCATAATGTGAGACTTTGGCTTCTTTAACGGGAAATGACTATTCCAGTTAAGTCTCAACGCCTTGTAAATGCAGACCAGTGCTGAATAGCTGAGGAAAGGCACACAGACTACTGCAACGACAGAACAGCATGCAAAGTTGAATTAAATTTTGTACCCGAATACTTCGTATTTGTCAATAATCTACTCATATCTTCGCAGGTCATCGATTAAGTTTGACTAATTAACTTTTTTTAGATATTTGCGATAAAATTTACCTGTCATAGTCACTGATAATTTCGCCGACGGCGTGCAATGCAACAGCGTACTTGGATAGCTGGTCCCGAGTGCAGAAGTGAAGAGTCCCCGGAACCTGAGGACACCCGTTGCTCGCCGTAAAGTCAATGGCAATGCAACAGCTCAGCTCAGTTCTATAAACAGAGCAGCAAGATACAAGGTAATGCACTTTTTTCAGCAAAAACATCACCTCTAAATAGCTTTAGCTGGCGTGGTTGCTGCCTGCTGTGGGCCTCCTTTCCGCTACATCGAGAAATAATTTGGCTGGGAATGTGGGTTCAACTTGCTGGCACACACTCTCAACAGGTTTACCGATGCATCAAGTAGGATTGAGGAGCTGTGTATCTTTTCTGGTCGCTAGACTTCTACATTACTATACTACTCTTTTGCAGCAGATTTCAGCATTTTCGTTTGTCACGATATACGAAGGGCATCTGCGTGGTTGGTCATGAGGTATTAAATGCAGAAAAAGATGTTGGCTATGTAAATTTAAGCATTCTGATTCCCTTACTAACTTCTTTTTCCAAATGAACTGCGTGAAAGTGCTGCTCTGGGCCCCAAATCGGAACGATGAGTCAAACAATTGACCTCATTACGCCTGACCATGCATCATGTGACTTATCGTAGACACTTCTGCCTGACTGGAAAGGTTTGTCTGCCGGAGGCAGGAAAACAGAAAGCACCTTTTTATGGATTGTGGTGGCTGTATTCATTCTGCCAGAATTGATGGATGATTTTGACGTGATAACGAAGGACTTGGTGGACCGGGTACAAGTCGACATGGCAATCGATCAGGTCGATTCGGAGTTACTAGATTCAACTGTCCAAACAAAAGCTTTAGGTAATACATTTTTTACTATTTTCGCCTCACGATGCTTAAATGCGCCTTAGGTCCCCCCTCAACACGACTCGGCTTGGGAATTCGGGTCATTTATTTTTATACTACTAATTCCCTGGGGAATTTTTTTCCAAGTGTATCCAATTTCATGATTGCTTTGGTGTTTGCGTTGCACTGGATGCCACTAAAAGGTAGCCGCAAAGAGTGGCACTAGTAGAAACATGTTACTGTTTAAAAAAGTTGCATCAACCAAATATCACCAACCAATAATGAAAGTTCTTTTAATGCAGCATGAATTTTTTTTATAAATTCGAGGCTGGAACAAATTTTTATCAGTAATATCTTAGGATAATGAAGCACTGGACCTCAATTTTCCAAGTTGGAAAGGTTGGGATGTAAGGAATGTCAAAGAGTTCATCTGGTAGATGTAGTAAGCATCTAGTTATCACAATTCACGATTAATCAGGTGAAGTATACATTAGAAATAACTGGTCTTTCGCAATGAACCATCCGAGCATTCTCAAAGTATTTTGGAATGCACTGCAAACATTTTGCGAATGAATCGTGCCTCTTCCGCACTGCTCTTTAAACATGACTCAACTCGATTATTTATCATTTTCTGAATTGAAAAAGTACGTTTGAAGCCGGTGAAAAATTGGTGAATAGTCTGTTTTGTTGAAATAAGTAAAATATTTGACATCACGAGATACAAATGTGTTTCGCTCTCAATATACTAAGTTTCGAGAGAAACTTTGGATAGCCCAATTAAATATTTTGAATTTTAATTCCTCATTGCATCGATGACAGTTCTAACTGCCATACGGAGGCTTTCTGAACATCGAGAAACCTGCTTCCCTTGTTTCATTGTCAATATTGACAACCAAGGTTCTAGAATTGTTTCTGTGTAACATTCTGAAGTGCAAACTTTGAGAACTTGTGGCTTCGTCCTCATCGCAACCTGTCCTAGTTGTTGATAAAAAATCTCTACATAATGTTTTTGTGTCGTCTCTTCTTTACCGTTATCTGTACCTCATATTGCATGGAGAGGTACAATTTGGTTAGGTTAGAGGAATCCTACATGGATAATGCTGAAAGAAGGGATGTTTTTGAGCCAATTTTGAACCATTTAGACTCCATCCATATTAAGCAATTTTAATTCAAACATTTTAGGCATAGGAAACCACAAATGAGTGGTATTGCAGTAGATGTAGGTAAATTAAGGATTTAAAACTTGCTCACATTCGTCATTCACATACACCTTAATCGAAATTGTGAAGTGCAAGACACGCAATAGTTAATTTAAGTATACCTATCAAGCAGAATAGCTCTGCTCACAGGTGTCATATAGGCCAATACCAATAAATAAATCGTATTTTTTGAACAACGTGGACGTTTAGTGTGAAATGAAAGAGCTCGAATTGCAGTATCTCTTGAATAAAAGCGAAGTGTTCAAATGCATATTAGGGCAGGGAGCCTTTGTAACTGATCCACCCCTACCACCTCACAATCACAGCAGAATCACCTGAATGGGTGCAAATAAAGTCAAATAATGGTAGGATTTCTGCAGAATTAATACATGACCTTTGTAGAAAAGGCCATTAAATAAACAACCTCAAGTACGACATCTCAAAAGTGCATCGATGTTTTTTTTTCATATTAGCGTGAGGTGGATCTGGTTAATTCACGACGGTCACCACAGTTCACGCACGACCGGCCGCCATGACTACCAACTGCCACGGATTCCCGCCTGAGTCACCCGACCCCGGTTCTCTGTCGACCCCGGAATCCTCTGCTGAATTCAAGTGTTTATCTTAAATCGGCCCTCGCAGTGCGTGTGTGAACAGGCCCGGCTAGTCCTCTTTGCCAATCCACCCAGGCCACGCGTGCAAACTATTAAACACCGATGCCACCATAACGTAAAAATCAACAATAGGCGGTTGTCTTCGCCTTTGGTTTTCTCATTCTTAAGTGAGCATTTGATGCCAAATTCAGCAACGTCAGCAATATTAAATGTTGCTGCCTTAGTTTGGGTTCCGGTCTCCTACTAAGAGATTTACCAAGAATTTTTGATTAAACAGTGAGCATCGATGTTGGGGTGAATAGGCTACAAGAAATGGACCAGCAAAAATAACTATCGAACTGTAAATATGGGGTGATTAATGACCTCCACTATCGAAGCGGATACAGACTAGAAACTATGAATTCTTTCAGCACTTGTTTCACGTTGTACTCTTTAGTACCAGAACGTTTTTTGAATTAGCTGTTCTTCGGATTATCCTGAAAATACTTGCTTCACAAATATTGAAAGATTTGTACTCAGGGTATTTCGAAGAACAACTATCTCACGGCCTTCTAGTGTTTGCTTTAAACCATAAAACTTTAAAAAAAATTGTGCTTTTCCTTCTCTTCAGCCCTTGACACTTCATTATAGCACGTTAAAGCGAAAATGCCTCGATTGACACTTGCATCTCCATGTTGTCACCTAACAATACCGAAGATTAAACAATGATCTCCAGTTTGCAAATGGATTTCTTATAAACTCTTTCAAACCAATACCTTAAATCTCAGAATGATGGGCTTTGCTGTCGAACTGATTGTCAGAAAACTCAACGCCAATTGAACAAAAGTTGCTCTCGAAAGAGGCTTGTCCAAATGTATTTGCAAGGAGGATATTAACACCGAGGAGCTTTCCGAAACCCAAAAAGTTGGGACGGCCACTAAATGTGGTGCTATTCATTTTCACATCTTCGATGCGAGTGTATTGCTACCTGGATCGACGGCCGATCTTTCACTGACGCGCATTTTTGTGTTCACAGATCCAAAATAGATTTATTTGGAGTTAAATCATAACGGTTGTAAAATTGTAGGTAGTGTAGTCACACCATTTCTGGAACCCTCAAAACACTTTAGACATACACTTTATTAATAAGGTATGATAGATGAGAAATTTAAAGCATGCTATCTGTGATGTTCAATTAAACCTTATAAATTCGAAAAAAAATAGCTGATACCTTCAGACCCGTATCGTCGCTGACTTACCCTTTTTTGAGCATATAACTTTCGAGACGCTTGATTACCCATAATGTATCGAAATTCAACTTTAAAGGCTTCAAAATCGCTATTCCCAAATCTAATTTAATTCGATTTCCCGCGACTGCTACTAATTTACTTCACTTTGTATCAAACATTCAACAGGAATTATTATTAGACTATATTGCTTTAACATTTCTCAAGCACACACACACACACAACTGGGCGAAGCCGATATTGAGATAGATTGAATTAAATTGAAGGAAAAATTATGCTGTCAGATCTCAATGTGTCCTGCTAGCAAGCCCTTTTTTGACATCAATACCATCTGTTCTGTTCAAATAAATGTGAAAACGTGAAATTTACGTAACAACCAACCAAAGCACATGTCTTGGGGGCGCAAAAATGACCGCTTTTTTCATGAATATTGCACTATGAGGAATTTTTTAACTGTTTGAATCTTTGGCGAATACGAGTGGTCATGACAAATCGCACACTTAAGGTGTGCTCGTTTCGTTGTTTTCCGTGGATAATTGCGAAACTCTAAATCATGTTCTATCCATACCTTATGATTAAGCAGGCCACCTGTAAAGTGTAAAATCTTGCGCAAAGTAGACGATCAGATTTTTATTATTTGGAAATTTTTTCTGTGCTCTGAAGCAAACAGGTGCTAGATTGTCAAATCTAATTATTATGAATCCTGTCCTTATATATTTAAATAAATGCCCTAAGCATGCACAATCTACATGAGGAATAAGTTGTTTGTTTGGGTCCCACAAAAACCACCTTAGTATAATTGTAATATCATGCTCTAACGGAATGGTTTAAATTCTAAAACAGTAGTTGTATATGAACGTTTTCGCTATTGACATTTCGATGGGTTTACCTATCTTTGTATTTTTTCACTAAAAATGTATTTGTGCTCAACTTTATGGATGTTAAAAATTTAAGTACAATCAACGCACCCTCCTTGTACGTAATCGATAAAACTGTACACCTTTTCAATTGAAACTTCGTTGATTTGAAGCTAAAATAATAATAATAATAATAATAACAAAGATGAAGTTGGCGTCTCTAAATTAACTTAAAACAACTTCAGGTGCAACGAACTTCGGTAGCGACATTAAAAAACGGTACTACCACAAAACTAATTTAAAATCTTGTCGTGAAACTAACTGAGAGCACTTTGATATTTGTCAAGCAAATTAGTGTCATTATAGAACTAAAGACTGCCAAAACTAGCATTGTAGCTTGCAGGTCTAACTACCCTTTTTATCTAACTACCCCTTTTATCTATAATTTGCTGACGAAACATATCG